ATATATATATAGATAGATTAGATTTTTTGGAGAACTTTTTTTTTTTTTTTTTTTTTTTTTTATGTTTGCGTTCGGAGAGTTTCGGCGCTCGTTCACGTTCGGTCTCGAACGTTCGAAGATGATGCTACACAAGATCGGTTATATCGTGACGTGTATTCGGGATTTCGTTAGCGAATTGCACTTCGGAAATTTCAGGATTCTGTCGGTTATATCCCAACGGTTATATCCCAACGTGTATTTGGAATTCACTAAGTGTTATTTATATATCATATCCCGATGTGGATTCGGGATTTTGTTACCGAATTGCACTTCAGAATTTTCGTGATTTGGCTAGTTATATCCCGACGTGCATTTGAGATTTTGATACTGAAACGCACTTCGGGATCTTTGTGATTTAGACTCCATGTCCCGATGTGGATTCGGGATTTCGTGACCTATCGCACTTCGGGATTTTTGGGATTTTATCGGTTATCTCCCGATGTCGATTCACAACTTTGTTACCGAATCGCACTTCACAATTTCCAAGACTCGCTCTGTCATATCCCGACGTGGATTCATAATTTCGTTACTGAAAACTTCAGGAATTTCGGGATCTATTTTTTTGGCATTAGAGCAAATTTAGGATCAACTTAGTGATATTTCTAGAACATATCCCGAAGTGTATAAAAAACAAAACAGTGTAAAAGAAAAAGGATACAAAAATTGAGAGGAAAAAGAAACAGGTAGAACATTAAAGGTGGAAGTGTGAAATTAAAATAAAAACATAGGGTTAAAAAAAAAAAATATACGTTACCCGATCGGACGTCCGGACCCCCCCTGACCGTCCGGGGTTGTCCGATCAGACAACCGGTCGGTCGTCCGCCCAGGGCCGTATGTCTGATCGGTGGGGAAATTAGGGGGAGCGCTTCCATGAGGAATCGGGCGCCGTGAGGGTGATAAGCGGGCAGGGGCGAAGCGGGAGGGATGAAGGGAAATTTTTTTGGAGGCCGGTGGGACCTCAAAAATCGAAAATAAAAATGGTCCGATCTGGGCCGTCAGATCTTTGAGATCGACGGCCCAGATCGGATCGATTTCAAATTCAAAATCCGTTGCGGCCCTCTCTTGCGCGCGACTTCACCCTGCCCTGTCAGTGGAGTTCGGCGTTGCAGTTGCCGAACTCCGATGCCCAACGGCCGCAATCCACGCGCCATCGCCCGCCCACGCCAGGTGAGTTTGCTTCCCTCCGTCCCACACCTTCTCCTCCCCCCCCTTCCTTTCTTCTTCTTTTACCTCGATGTCCTCCTCCTAGTCCTCAACGACCTCCTCCTCGTCCTCGTCCTCATCGTCCTCCTCCTCCTTCTCCTCCTCCTCCTCCTTCTCCTCGCCTTCTTTCTCTTCCCCATCCTCCTCCTCCTCGTCCTCCTCTTCTTCCTCGTCATCCTTGTCGTCCTCGTCTTCCTCCTCCTCGTCCTCCTCCTCCTCCTCCTCCTTCGCATCATCTTCCTTCACCTCTTCTTCTTCTTCTATCTCGTTGTCCTCATCGTCCTTTACCTCCTCTTCTTCTTCTATCTCGTTGTCCTCCTCATCGTCGCCGTCCTCCTTCTCCTCCTCCTCCTCCTCTTCTTCTTCGTCCTCTTCTTCCTCCTCTTCTTCCTCCTCCTCCTCCTCGTCTTCTTCCTTCTCCTCCTCCTCCTCCTCCGCGTCATCGTCCTTCATCTCCTCTTCTTCGTCAATGTTAACGTCCTCCTCTTCTTCCTCCGCTTATCCGTTTGGCTACCCCACCCAGCGCGTGCATTTTCCCGCCATTTTCCCCCACCCAACGCGCGCATTTTCCTACCATTGTCCCCCCCCTCCAACTCTGATCTCCATCCCCCTCCCTTCGATCACCACCCGATCCCGAGCTCCGCACTCCCGATTCCCCCTAATTTCTTTGTTCATGTTTGCGCTACCTGATTTCCCATCTCCCCTTCCCTCCCCTCGGATCGCTCGCTTCCCTTGATGCCCCCGTTCTGCTGCTCGATCGAATTCCCACCTGCCCATGCGCCCACCATTGCCTTGCTATTCCTGATCCCGCTCTTCCTATCACTGTCGTCAGTGTCGAGCGGAATTCACCAAGTGCTGATAAAAATCCTATCAATCAATCAATTAATCAATTAATCAATCAATCAATCAATCAATCAATCAATCAATCAATCAATCAATCAATCAATCAATACAATCAATCAATCTATCAATCAATCAATCAATAAGTCGGGATCCGTTGAACCGATTGGTTCGATAGGATCTTGATCAAGATCCTATCGAACCAATCGGTTCGACTATCAATCAATCAATCAATCGGGATCCCGTCGAACCGATTGCCTACCTATCCGTCTATCTGTCTGTCTACCCACCCGTCAATCAATCAATCAATCAATCAATCCACCCCCCCGAAACACCCCACCGTCACACCTTGCACACCATATCTGAATTTGTTTTTCGTTTTTGCTCAGAACAACCTGAAAATGTTTTTTGGGGGTCCCCTAGTGGTGCGCAGACCCCCCCGTTTTTTTATTTTTTTTTCGTTTTTTTTTTTGGCAAAAAAACTGTTGTCCGATTTTTCGGACAACTCCCCCCTGACCGTCTTCCGGAGACGTCTGGGGGAGACGTCTCCCAATCGGACAACTGGCAGCCTAGAAAAAAATAGAATCAAATAAAAATAACGGTGGAAAACAAATTACGTAAAAATTAAAATTTTTTGAAAACAATGTATGCTAACCTGGCAACACAAAAAAATATTATTTTTTTCTTTTTTTATTTGGCATTGGAGCAAATTCAAAATTTATTTAGTGATATTTCAAAAACAGATCCCGATGTGTATTAAAATAATAAGATTAAAAAAATATAAAGATTTTGAAAAAAAAGGTAAAAGATTAAGGGTGAAAGTAAAAAATAAAAGTAAAAAATATAGGAAAATTAATATATATATATATATATATATATATGGAGTCAAATAAAAAAGGTGGGAAAAAAATATGTGAAAATCTAGGCTACCAGAGTGGTCTGGGACCACTTGCCCCGCCAGACCAAAAAAATAAAAATAAAAAAACGTTTTTTAACTTTATTTTTATTTTTTATTTTTGGTAAAGACTTTGGATATGTCCCTGAGGCAAACGTTGTTCAGTTCCTTTTTCTACATAACATGGTATTTTTGCAGATTTTTCCGATTTTTTTTTTTTTTTTTTTTTTTTTTTCGGAGACCTACTTTGACCCTTGCACGGCCTGGCCGCCTGGGAAAACAAGGTCACTCGGGCGGCCCGACTGGTAGCCTAGGTAAAAATTAAAAATGGTTGGAAAAAAAATGTAGCTAGATGACACTATATATATATATATATATATATATAGACATTCTCCGCAGTGGAGCAATTTTCCGCTCACTGAGACAAACCCCAATCTCGCTCACTGATATCTCTGAGTCACCAGGGCATAAGTGGAGTTCCCTTGGAGAGAAATTCTCACAAACTGAAGAAACAATATTCAGATCAGAGTCATCATAGTAAAGAAGAAATTGAAAAAAATCACTCAGACACTCAGCGCTTCCCAAGTTCAACAAGACTCACACAAGCGGCAAATGACATGTTCGCAAATGATGAATGTTACCACAGAAACGATTGCCAAACATTAGTAATAAATGTAACATCAAGAAAGTTAGTTGCAGCTTAAAGAAAAAAAAAGAACAACTGCATTGAAGTAGCGTGTTTGGCCGGAATGAACAACAGGGACATCGTGATGGATACCGACAGTTGTTAGACGCCAATTGTTCATTATTCTTTGATATTTGCAGTTCTCGGCAGCAGATGCGACTCATAACACAATTCAAAACTGTTGCGGTCCTTGGTGTAGAGATCAGCAGTTGTAGTTGCTTCACACGTTGCATTAACTCTCCAGCTTGGGATTTCATATCTCTCTCTCTCCCTCTATCTGTTTCTCTCCCCTCGACTTCACTTGATTTTTTGTGCAAGTTCTACCTGGATTGCATAAAATGCACAACCCTTGTAATCCATCTCTGCACGAAGGCAGTTGCAACTTAAAGAACAAAGAAGAATAGTTGAATTGAACTAGCACGTTTGGCTGGATTGGGCAATAGGGACATTGTTGCTCGTAGTACTCAGTAGCAAATGTCACTCGTAACGATGTTCCAAACTGTTGCGGCCTTTAGTGATGGAGATTAGCAGTTGCAGCTCCTCTAGACGTTGTATTTACTCTCAGGCCTGGGATTCTGTAACTCTCTCTCTCTTTCTCTCTCTCTCTCTCTCTCTGTGTTTCTCTCAATCTCTCTCTCTCTCTCTCTCTCTCTCTCTCTCTCTCTCTCTCTCTCTCTCTCTCTCCGACTTCACTTGATTTCTTGTACAAGTTTTATCTAGATTGCATAAAATGCACAACCCTTGAACTCCATCTCTGCAAGTAAAGTTGACTCGTGCATTATGAAACATCCACGAGACAAAAACTCGTCATAAATTTTCAATTCATGCGAGAGGAGATACACCTGTCATATAGACACATAACAAGTGGCTCACATGTTATAAGGAGTCTTTAAGGTATGTAAAGGAATATCATTTTATGTGTTTCTTTTTGTGTTTTTCTGTGTTTTGTTTGCCACTTTCTTTTTCAGTCTGGCGAGTGTAAACCGGAGTGTTTTTCTACCACGAAGTCGTAGCGTTACAACAATAGTACTGATAAAGCCATCCTTTTGTAGGTTGAAGGATCCCCGAGGAATATTGATTACTTCATTTTTTTATTTTAATTTTTAATTTTTATTTTTTCATAAAAAAATCATGGTGTAGTAGAGGGCAGAGGCCAGGCCTCAGGAAGTCCCTATGGTACTCATCCACTGGGAGGTCAGATGAGTTACTAGGCTTCCCTGGGGGAGTCACCTCAAAGTGGCATCACAATGACATGACCTATACTAACGCTCAGATCGAAAGTTGTGATCTGCACCAACACTTACCGGACTGCATTTCATACAGGATTGACTGCAAGCTTGTGTCTCTCCCCAACCCTGTGAACCGAGTTTATTAGGTTTAAGCTTGAAATAGACAAACCCCTAGTTGTTGATTTTTTGTGTCTTACCTCAGTCTTGGCTGACTGTTACATGATTCTTAGGTGACCCACAACCGCAATTTGGTTCTTTGCATTCCTATGAAAAAACGTTGATGCTTTTGGGTTGACTGGTTGATGATTCATATGTGACACGCAAGTGCAATGTGGTTTTTGCATGCCCATGAAAAAACACTGATGCTTTTCTATTTTTTGAACCTGTTGTGCTGCAGGTACAATTTTCCCTCAACTTACTCACATGATAACTGTCATTTTGGATCTGTATTGGTACAGGCATATGAACAGAATAACACCAAACTTTTTTCTATCAATTATCTACCAAATTGACCATGAGAAGAAGAGCATCACAGATGCTGACAAGATCAAACGTCGAGTTCTTCAATACAAACGAAAAAAACTGCAGTGATAAAAACGAAGGTTGCTGCGATTGTTGTGTTCGAGTTTGCTGCTGCTTCTCTTCAAGGCATTAAGTGACCGCCAGTCAAGACCTTATGCACTGTGACTTGCAAATATTGTTGCTATTTCAAAACACTGCCAATTTTGTCGGAACGTTCGATGGTCTTGGGCTTTGTCGGGACGATGGTGGAAGGTGACGGGATGGGACCTCCGTGATGTTACTTCTTTCTATTTGACAGCCCGCTCTGCGGGTCTTTGTTGATCATTGTCTACGAGAGACTTTGAGCATGTTCCTTTGTGTGTGTGGCCCCTGCTTTGCCTCCCCCCCCCCACCCACTGCCAAGACAGGTCGTGTTCTAATTGAAGCCACATGTGTTCTATACTAGCGCAACCCATTTGGACGTCCGACATTACGTTCTCTTCGGGTTTGCGCTGTGAGATGTGAATGTTGCTTATCTTCCAGATAAGACTTAGATGATAGGCTATATACGGATGTTTGTTGATTAGAGGTCAGCATTGGTGTTGACATCACGTATATTGGTCTTCTGTGTCTAAGTGATCTTGTTGCATGAATGAAGATAGGACAGAGAGATTGAGTAGAGTGGGCTAGGAGTTGGGCGCCAGACAGTAGGAGCGACATTGGATACTGCGTTGGTGTGGTCTGAGGGCTTGGACATTGGCTCACGAGTCCATTGTATTGCTCTTATGTGGATGGAATCTTGGTGCAATGGTGCTCTCTGCTTGGTGCAATGGTGCTATCTGCTTGATGTAATGGTGCTCTCTGATTGGTGCATGACTCTCTAGACTACTTCGTGATTTTGCAACTTGGTTTTTTGTCTATCGCTCTCGCTCATATTCCTCGCACTTTTTATTACATTTTTATTTTTAATTTATTTTTTTATTTATTTTTAATGAATTTCGATGTGACCGTGAGACAAAAGTTGCTCAGTTTATTTTTTTTCATAACCTAGTTTTTTGTTTCCATGAATATTGAAATATTTTAATTTTTAATTGTTTTTGTTGGGACCTTCCGAAGTCCTTGCACGACCGGGCCGAAAACAAGGTGACCCGACTAGTAGCCTAAGACTTTTGAGATATTCTTTCCATTTTCTTTTGCCTGTTTTTTTTTTTTTTATGTCTGTACTATGAGTCCACATTGTTTGTTTCCAAAGTTTTTCACTATTGCTTGTGCGATGCGGTGAAAACGATGAATTTTCGACCCTCATTTAACCTCGTGTTGCTGATTTATGCAATCAACCTCATGTTTGTGCAGAGGTTTTACAGTTTTGTAGTCAACGTTTTATTGCTTTCCTCTGCCATTTTTCAGTCCTGACATTCCCATTGACATAATGAACAAGCCAACCTTCACTTTCCCTTTCATGTGCTGAGTT